AGAATTTTTTTTTAATATTTATTTTTTAGTTCTTGGCGGACACAACATCTTTGTTGGTATGTGGTGCTGAGGATCGAACCTGGGCCGCACGCATGCCAGGCGAGCGCGCTACCCCTTGAGCCACATCCCCAGCCCTATTATGTATTTTATAAAGAAGAATTAGGAGTTCAAAATTTCTCAACACACAMAAAAAAAATTGTAAATGTTTAAGGAGGTAGAGATGCTTATTTTTCTGATTTGGTCATTACATATTGTGTTCATGTACTGAATCTTCCCAATAATATGCAGAGTTATCATGTGTCAATTTATAACAATAGGGAACAGGATAGTGTTGCCAAGGGGGTTAGGGATGGGAAGAGAGGAGGGAGAGGGACTGGAAGGGAGTTGGACATGGCTGTCAAAAGCAACCTGAGTGCAGGGTACAGTGGCTCATGCCTGTAATCCCAGTGGCTCTGGAGGCTGAGGCAGGAGCATCGTGAGTTCAAAGCCAGCCTCAGCCAAAGTGAGGCACTCAGCAACTCAGTGAGACCCTGTCTCTAAATAAAATACAAAATAGGGCTGGGGATGGGGCTTAGTAGTCGAGTGCCCCTGGGTTCAATTCCTGGTATTAAAAAAAAAAAAAAAAAAAAAAAAAAACCCTAAGCAATTCTGCTAGTGGGGGCTGTTTTGTGCCCTGACTCTTGTGGAGGGTACACAAACCTACACAGGTGGTCAATTTGCATATGAATAAATATACTCACAGACATACACAAAGTAAAAGTGAACTAGAAAATATCAGAATAAGATCAGCAAATTCTATCAATGTYGGTATCCTTAATGGAATATTGAAAAATAGTTTTGCAAGATGTTACCATAGGGGGAGACTGGATAAGCGATACATGGGATCTCCTTATCATGTTTCTTAAAACTGTGTGCAGATCTACAATTATCTTCCAAGRAAAAGTTAACTTGAAACTACCACCCTTCTAGGCTGTCTGTAAGGATCAAATGGAAAAGTATTGGGCAAGAAAATTCACGCAATGAATGCTCATCAGCCCCTCCCCTCTATCCAGGCACCTTGYAAATGCTGAGCTCCTAGCAGGGAATAAAGTAGAAAGCTTTCCCACATTAAGGGAAATTTTATTCTGGTGGCATGCCACACAAAAGTGAGCTGTTATTTCTAAAGACTGTCTTTAAAAATGCCTCATAACGTCCACTCGTGGAGAAGCAGCAGCAYCGAGTTCTTGCATGTGGTGTAAATAGACTCAAAGGCATTACAAAATTTTCCCAGGTACCAGGGAGAACCAGAATCCAACCCCAGATCCGAGCCTGAGGCTGCAGCTCATCCTCTCTCACCTCACCGCCTTCACAAACAGGGTCTGTTCTCTTTGCAGAACAACCCAAAGGCGTCAGCGAAGGTGGAGTGTGGGGACTTTTACAACACCGGGGACAGAGCMACTATGGATGCAGAAGGTTACTTGTGGTTCCTGGGCAGGGACGATGACATCATCAACGCCTCTGGGTAGGTGTGGCTGACCCTATGCTGGATCCTGTCACCCYCACACGTCTCCCAGGATCCACTGCCTGTCTGAGCTTCCTCCATGCCTGGGTGATGGGACCTGAGGTCTAATTTGAGCAGAACCATTTCTAGCATCTATGGGTCCTGTGCACCTCTTGTGTCCAGAAAAGCCAATCAAAACAAAGTTCAAAGTTCTGGATGGGGATTAAGATATCACACAATTTAAAGRTGGTGGTGGGATTGGGAGGGGAGACAGTTTTGGTCCCCCAACCTAGGGGAGCTTATTTTATGTCTGTGTTCCACTTACACAGCACAGCTTATCCAAGGAGAAACGTGGTAATAATAATAAGAGCCTACCCCTGCAAAGAACTTACCATGTGGCAACTCTCCATTGCTCTCTATAACCCATCTCAATGCAAACGGGAGATGAGATTACCATTCTTATGCCCCTGACAGTGAAACTGGGTCACTGAACAGTGAAGAAACTGGCCCACAGTCTCAAATGTCATAAATGATGGCATCCTGATCAGAGCMGAGGCAGCCTGAGGCTGAGCCCTAACTCCAACCTGATTTTGAAACCAAGACATATGACACAACTTCCCTTGAATATTTCAGAAACTGCAATATTTTTAACGGACACATAATAATTGTACATCATGATAATTCGATACACATCTGCAATAAGAGTAACAAAATCAGATCATTAGCATACCCATCACCTCATGCATCCATCCTTTCTTTGTGCTGAGCGCATTCAAACGTCCCTTCTATTTTGAAATATGTTATACATTATTGTTAACGATAGTCACCCTGCTGTGAAATAGCAATAAAACCTGCTACTTACAAATTTCTAAAACATGTTGATATGGGTGTGTGCTGAAAATTTGCTAGGAGAGTATATTCTAAGTTTCTCGCCATGCATGAGTACTGTATATAACCCACCAGCAGTGGTACAGGAGGTGATGGACATGTTAATCTGCCTGACTATGGTAATTTCACTTGGTAATTTCACTATGTGTATGTAAAGCATTGTGTTTATAAAACATGCTTTAGTATATATTACTCACACATATATTGCATATATGTGTACACACACACACACATATATATATAAAAGCCAACATACTAATATATATTTTTTAATTATATATATATATATATGTATATATATATATATATATGTAATCCATTTCAATAAAATAAAGCATGTTGGTAGAGTGAAGAGAGGATGTGGAATTTGCTTGCAAGTTGTAGACAGAATCGAGGCTCCCGGGAAGTGTTGTGCTGGGGAAACGACTTGCCCAAGCACCCAGGCTCTCAAAGAGAAAGCTGCTCCCTCCCTCCCACCAGAGGCCCTGGGGCCAGAAGTCCCTGGTCACTGCTGGGCTGGGCTGCGAGGGTTACCTCCAGCACTGAATGCCCAAGTCTTTGCACTTAGGGACCAAACACAGGCAGTTCCCAAGTCTCAGACTCCCCAGGACCGCTACCCTTGGGGTCCAGGGGAGGTGCGACCCTCCAAGGTACAAGAGTTAGACTTAAAAAAAAAAAAAAAAAAAAAAAGAGTTAGACTTAGTTCCCTCCAGCCCCAGCCTCTGCCCCAACTATTGATCTCATCCCGCAGGTACCGCATCGGGCCGACAGAGGTGGAGAACGCCTTGGCGGAGCACCCTGCGGTGGCCGAGTCGGCGGTGGTGAGCAGCCCGGACCCGAAGCGCGGGGAGGTGAGGAGGTCCCCAGATCCGTGTGTCCCTGTGCGCCCTGGCGGAGCAGCTGCAGGAAACCTAGGACAGGGAGAAGGCCTAATAGATGCGCATGTGCACAACTACTATGGGGTCACCAGGTGGCGCTGTGGCCTCAGCTGAGGCTCTGAAACAGCTGCTAAAGCTTAATGAGCGTCTGCTATGAGCCGAATCACTAAACGCTCGCAAAGCCAACAGTCTAAGGATGCTTATTGTATTGTCTGTATAGACAAGGGGAAAGAAGGGGTTAAGTAACTTGCCCGTCAATCACACACCTAATATGAGGTGGGGCCAGCCAGGCGTGGGGGTCCATGCCCGTCGTCCCAGCTACTGGGGAGATGGAGGGAGAAGGATGGCAAGCTCAAGGCCAACCTGGGCAATTTATGGATACCGTACCCAAAATACACAGCTGAAAAGGGCTGGGCTCAGTAGTACTGGGTTACCTTGGTTTAATCCYCAGTACCTAAAAGAGAGGGAGGGAGGGAGGGAGGAGGAGGAGGAGGAGATAGTTCCAAAAGAGAACTCCAAGCAACCTACCTCCAAAGCATGTGTTTACTGGGTCAACAAGTATTAATTGAGTATCTTCTGTGTACAAAATCTTTTGCAATGAACTGGGACAAAATTGCTAATGTAAAAATGAATTGTTAACAATTATTAAACCCTGCTGGGTTCCAGCACAGATCTCCATGTTGAAGATGATTAGTGGGAGTGATAACAAATGGAAACAGACAATTTCTATGTGTTACCTCATGGGTCTCTACAGAAAGCCTATGAGGAATGGCACGTTTATTGTCCCCATTTTCCAGAGAAGCAAAATGAGTTTAGGTATGAAATAGAAATAGGAAGGCCAGGGACATGGACCTGCTCCCCCTCCTTTTCCAAATCCCTGGTGCTCTTGACCCCCCTGGGCTCAGCCATCAACTTGCCTTTCCATTCATTCAGTAATCACTTTTTAAACTCTGTACATAATAGGCCCTTCCTCTGAGGGGCCCTCRTCTGAGACCCCACTCCCGTTCTGCAGGTGGTGAAGGCATTTATTGTCCTGAACCCGGAGTTCCTGTCCCATGACAAGGACCAGCTCACCAAGGAACTGCAGCAGCATGTGAAGTCAGTGACGGCCCCATACAAGTACCCAAGAAAGGTGAGCCAGGGCAGAKGGATGGGCCCCATCCCCCTGCACAGTCCCCAGGGTTTTGTTGCACATCTCGAGGGTGGCCCTGCAGTGGGGAGCTTTGCTCTCTGCAAAAGAGATTAACTGGGATCACCGTCATTGGGAGGCAGAGCTAGAAGMCAAATGCATGTGTGTCTGACAGCAAATCTCGTGTTTCTGTCATGAGTCAAACCATCACTGTCAAGCATAATGTTCTGCCGGCTCACCGACAGCAGAACAGGTGCTCTCCTCAGGGAGGAGGTGAGATGTCCCCGCAGGTAAAATACAGCACCCCAAACCATGAAGGGCTGTAACGATGAAGGTTTCTTTTTTGATCATGCAGTACATCCCCCATAGCTCTTCTAGGATCTCTGCCCCACATCCGCTCATCCTKGGGCTGAGTTAAAGGAGCAGCCACCACATAGTTACCTGCTAGGTGCTGTACGAGGTAGAGGATAGGGAGGCTGTTGGTTCCAGACTCTCRGCCTCAATGAAACCTACTTCCTTCCACCCCATTTCATGGGTAAAGCCAGTCACAGGGCTCTGTCCAGCTTCAGGGAGTTGGGAGAGGAATCTGCCAAGCTCAGTGGACCCCACTTAGGTTGTCAGGCAGTTTCATCCTTTAGGGGACTGGGAAGGGGAAAGGAAGGTCATGGGGAATGGGTGGGAAACTACAGCAGACTCAGAAGGGATTTGCTTTCTTCTCAACTAGGTGGAGTTTGTCCTAGAACTGCCTAAAACCATCACCGGCAAGATTAAACGGAGTGACCTCCGGAAAAAGGAGTTTGGCGGGATGTCATCAGGRAAAAAAACAGAACCTACCCCGTGACTTAGGCAAATCCCCGGGGTGCCTCAATTTCCTCAATAGGGTGGGGTTTGGAGGGGTATCAGGAGGTCTGAGGCCCCAGTATTTTTTTTTAAATCCCTGAGTTTGGTTGCTKCCCTCCTTGGAAGTCCTCTGTTCTCCTGGAGGGCCCAGGTGAGCTTGAGGATTGGGGTTGCAGGTAATAAAACACTAACAGCAGCTGCAACAGCACCTCTGTGCTCTCYGTTTGCTTAGTGACTCCATCTGTGCCAAACGCCTTCCCTCCACCATCACCCCCACCCCCAGTCCAGCACATCCCATGGCCAGATGCTCCCTCTTAGCACCAGCATCTGGAGAGGCTCCCAGCTCCATTCCGGAGGACCCAGGGCCAGGAAGGAGACTCTGTCTGCTGGACCACGCGCCTGCCCCTGCGAGACACAGGAGCCCACAGCCCCGACTTTCCTTGATAGACAGCCAACAAAGCCCCTCCTTCCCAGCGACTCAGGAGCTTGCTAGGGATCCCCACTCACTCTGCCAGGGATCAGGACCCCCTCCTTATCCAAGAGTCCTCCCCAGACAGCACCTCTTTTCCTTCTCACTGTAMCCCCCCCCCCCCAGGGTCCCAGATCACTCTCCACCCCCTGGTTTAGACTCCTGTGCCTGGGCCATGTCCTTGGGTGTGGAGAGCGGTGACTTGGATCATGGTCTTTGACTGCCTGAGAGCCATGGCTGTGCCTTGCCCTGGGAAATTTCCGTGCAAAGGTGCAGGACAAGATTGCCCAGGAGGGGCTGGGGTTGTGACTCAGTGGTACAGTGTTTGCCTAGCACGTGGGAGGCACTGGGTTCGATTCTCAGCATGACATATAAATAAATAAAATAAAGGTCCATCAATGACTAAGAAAAACAACAACAACAACAAAGATTGCCCAGGAGCTATGGTAAAGCCCTTGCCTGAGAAAGTTCTGTGCAAAGGTTTGGAACAATAACAGTCTTGACCTTGAGTTCAGATACTGACTGCTGGGAATAGAGAATTCTGAGCATGACAAGAAACCCACAGTATCTTGCAAGTGCCATGGGCTTCAAACTTGACCACTTTGCAGAAACTTCCCCATAAGTAACTTCCCCCCCCCTTTTTTTTTTTGGTACCAGGGATTGAACTCAGGGGCGCTCCGCCACTGAGCCACGTCCCCAGCCCTATTTTGAATTTTATTTAGAGACAGGGTCTCACTGAGCTGCTTAGGGCCTCGCTGTTGCTGAGGCTGGCTTTGAACGTGACCCTCCTGCCTCAGCCTCCGRAGCCACTGGGATGACAGGCGTGCCCCACCACATCCCACCACAAGTAAMCTTTTGATGATAAAACCTACATAATAAACATACTGTGCTACTCTGGGTCACTGTTCTTCCATCAGGGGTTGATGTCCTACCTGRTCCCAGCTTTCTCTTTGTAAATGTTTGGGTGTCTTAATGCCACCTGGCCTGTCTTTAGGTTCCRCAGTGCGGGTAGCCGCACTTGGGGTCTGGTGTACAACCACCAGGGGGAGACCAGAGGCAGAGAGGAGCAGGGGCAGCAGCGTCCCAGCCTGTGGGTGGAGAAGAACTTGCTGTCCCCCTCTCACTCACCCCAGCTAGTCACCACTGGAAAGATMCCACGCACGCCTGCCTTGTTATGAAGTCCACAGTGACACCCACTCACGGAGGAACACACAGGCAACMGCCAACACAGATGCACATCACAGGACATCACAGGACCAGCCACACCAAAGAAAACCCACACCCCCAACTCTAACCTCACAGACCCTGAAGTCCAGACCACGTGTTCCCAGGCAGATTTGCACAACCAGACACACACCRCCACACCCCAACGCACAGGGCAAGCCAAGGCCTGGCGGTACATCATCGGCCCACTGAACTGTCACAGAATGTGGCGTTTGCTTGGAATCCAAACTGAGTGCCGGGCATCTGTCACTTGTAGGGCATTCCAGGACATCATGCCCAGGCCCTGAGAATTGCCAGGCTAGGGTGACCCTGGGGACAAACACAAAGCACAAGATCAGGAGAGGGAGGTGTTRGCTGGGGCTTAGCAGCACTAGCAGCCAAGAGAGGGGGGAAGGAGCGCCCCCAGGACCCAGCCTGTGCCACAGTGGGCCGCACCCCCTGCTCCACATCAACGATGCCCCGGGGAATATGAGATGATGCTGGTACCACAGTGACCAACGGCTTGGGCAGCTGGTGGAGGAGCTGGACAAGAGCGTGKCCCCCAGGTGCAGTTCTCCTCTGAGCAGGGCTCACCCACACAGAGCTGGGCTCCGGGCCACTTGTCTCTCTCGCCCCTCCCCCTCTGGGGTCTCCCCGACTCCTCATGCCCCTTTCCAAACCCAGGTCCCTCTGACACTCTGCTCTGCCTGGACACAGCCCCTCCCTGACCACTCTGGATCTGTGTCCCCATTTGTGCAAGGGAGCTGGAGAGGGCACCTCAGGGTCCTGGGACAATGCCTGTAAAGTGTTGACACAAGCAGTACCGAGAGCCGTGGGTACCATCATTACTGCCTTTAACAGCTGTGGACCTTCCAAGGTGCCAGTTCTGGAAGGAAAGAGGCCCCTCACAATGCCCCATGGGCATGGGGCCAATATGTCACTTCCCCCAGTCCTCATGAGCCTGTGCACCCGGCTGCCATGTGCAAAAGGAAACCCGCCCAGGCCTCAGAGATGATCAGCAGCACAGCTGGTCCCCCGGCCCAAGACACCTGACCCTGCCAAGGTCTTTGGAGGTGTCTCTAGGGGACAAAGAGGACATGGCAGGTTGACACTGGCTTTGGGCAGCTTCCTGGGCTGTAAGAATGACCTTCCCTTTCAGGGTCCTGGACTCTGCTCAGTTTCCCTTCCTTTCTTTTGTCCAGATTGGGTTTCAATCCTGGTGACCCTGGCATCCCCCCTGTGGATGTCCCCTGCCCCTGTACAGGCTGGGCCTCTCCCCTCTTGACAACCTGTCACCGTTGTGCAGTTGACTTCAACCTTCCTGTTCTGGTGCTCTGCTTTTAAACCATGACAAGCCAGTTCTGTGGCTTTTTATGCAGATAACGGCACMGAAGCAAAATGCATATCATTGTATCATTACTCGGATTCTTTTTCTGTTTTTTTGTTTTGTTTTGTTTTGTTTTTTTACTGTTTTTCATGATTTCTTTATGACTAAAATACATCGGTTTTCTACATAATGCAATGACAGACTGTTTGCAGCTTACATGCATAAAGATTAGAGAGATGGGGTTTCTAGCCCTGATTCGGAGCTGCCATGGGCCACATGGGGTTTGGGGACACGTGTAGTGACCCTGAGGAAGTTCCCCTCAAGACCCAGCCAAGGAAAGAAACTCCCTAGTGTGGGATGTGCCCAAAATTCCCCTGGATGGGCTGTTTCTCAGATACCCCCCCAACACCCRATATCCCATGCCCTTCAACAGACTCCACGAGAGAAACGGGCCTCTTTCAATTCCGCCTAGGAAGCAGGCGGTGCAAATGCATTCTAAGCTCAGTGCAGCTCTCAACTGAAGCCTCCATGGGAAATTCAAGAGAAAGAGKGAGAGAGAGGGAGGGGACACCAGGCAGGGAAGCATGGCTGGATCTGCCACCTGCTGTCACAGGAGGGTCCAGGGGCCAGCTGGGCCCTCACTGTGCC